ATAAATACCCTACCTAATCGTGCAGCTCTATAATATATGAGATCTTAGTCATATTTGTGTGAATGAATGTAACATAAATTGTTTTCGAATTACCATCATTAGGTGCAGCTTTTCAAATTAGTCATTAAAGTCGAGGTGAGAGAGAGAGAGAGAGTGGGAAATGCAATTAGTCACTACAGAGATAGAGAGAGAGAGAATGCTTGCAATGCTGACTAATAATATTAGAGGCGAATGAGCAAAACAAACTTCAACGAAATTAAATAATATGGTACCAGACATGCAGCAGCATGCAACATGCCTCTGCCACGCCCCCCATGCTTTACACGCCACTGCACAGGCGTGAAAAGTAACTCAAAAAGCTTGCAACTCCTTTAACGAGAGCCGAATGCACGTGCACTCGACGAGTTTATGGGCTGCCTCTTTCTCTTCTTCATCTTCTTCTTCTTGTTCGCTTGTTGGCCGTGATTTCTATGCCACATGCCGCATGCCGCATGCCGCATGCCATTAGCAGCCCTCATTTCACACTCGAGCCGTCACTTCAACTTGACTTGACCGCCACTCGCCCCCACTCCTTGTCTACCTCTCTCTCTCTCTGTCTCTCCCTGCCTCCCCCTTGTGGGCCTTTTAGGCGCAACAATTTTCAGCTGCCGCGTGTCACAAATTTTATCGATTTGCGCCCTGTTTGCCACACGCTGCCTCTGCCGCTGCCGCTGCTGCCACTGCTGCTGCTGTTGGTGCTGCAGCTGGTGGTGGTTGCTGCATCAAATAAATATATCCTTCCGCATTATGTTGCGCTCTCATCCGGCAACAGTTTTGATACCCCCCCATTGCTGCAAATATATCCGATAAAGGGTATGCTGGGTGGGCAGGGACTATAGGGTATATCTATAAATATTAGTTGGGGATGTTGAACTGAATCGATCTATGTGGACTGTTATATGAGCTGTTAATGCTGCTTAATTGGTCTACTACCAACTGTACTACTTACCATACTACTGATGTACTGCAAGGACTTAACTATAACTGTTCTACTACTAATTGTCCCACTACTACTACT